ATTGGTCATTAATTATCCTGATGAAGGCGACAGTGGTCGCTGAAAATTTGATCCCTGTAAATAGTGTGTTGGAATAAAGTTTAACGTTTTACTAAGGAAATACTTACTTGTCCTTGTAGTTGATACTGGGCTGTGTCGACAATGGTTGTCTCGACAATGACATACACCCAATATACTGGGGACAAATAAATTTATAAAGGGCCAGACCATGGAAAAGTGAGGGGTAATGGCACACATTTTCAAAGGATCAGACGCAATGTTTGGTCTTATTTCTTTTTATTACAGCGTCTTATTGCTGCTTTGTTGGTCGACGTCGACACGTTCCTGTGCCTTTTTTTTAATCATCCTTCCTTCTGCACTCCTTACTAAAATTAAAAACAGCGTAATATTTGAGACACCTGTTAGATGCTGCTACTCCAGTGTGCCAAACCAACAGAAGAATTTACGGTATGCAGAACACAAACAAACCTCATAGTTAAACGCCGATGAAGTCTATATACAGACACGTGAGTCATTGATACCCTTTTCATTAAGTCACTATTTCAGTTTTCCTTTTGTGGAGCCGTACACATTTTAATAGCTAACAAAAATATGCAAAGAAAAAAAGGAATGACATGCTCCATTATTTGCAAATGTTATACACGCACCCAGTGACCATTGATATTTTCATGTGAGGTACTATTCTAGATGTGTGTTTGTTTGTTTGTTTGTCTATGAAATAGACGGAAACATACTATGATATAGTCAGTGGGTTACAAATGTTAAACATGCACTCAATGACAATAAAAAAATCATCAGACATGTAAATAAATGGATTGTGGAAAGTACAAGTACTATTCTTCTGTTGTGGCCTGTATTTAACCCAGTAGGTATGTGTACATTAAAAATCTTCATTCACACATTATTGAGAGGACTATGAAACTTTATGTTCTACCCGTATACCAACCCACTCACTCGCCCACTCACTCATTCACTCACTCTCACTTAGCCAGTGAGTGAGTGAGTGAGTGAGTGAGTGGGTGAGTGAGTGAGTGAGTGGGTCGACGTCGCTCACCCACTCACTCACTCACTCACTCACCCACTCACTCACTCACTCACTCACTCATTCAATCCTTCACTCACTTGAAGACAGAAGAAAAATGTCTAGACTATGCATGATGTACAAAATGACTAATAAACTGGTGGATGTCCCAACTACTAAGTACCTAATACCAGCCCAGAAGAGAACAAGAAATAGCCACGCTTTCAAGTACCAGAGTTATCAACCAAGGATTGAGGTGTTCAAGAATTCATTCTTTCCTAGAACTATCGCAGAGTGGAACTCACTGTCACCAAGCACAGTAGGGGCACTGTCAATAGATAGCTTTAAACAATGTCTAGAGCTAGAAGTTCAAGGGTTAGGTGTAACAAGTCGATCGGTGTAATATAGCCAGCTGCTGCCGCGCCGCGTGCCTGCGAAGCTGGTGTGTTACGCCGAAAGGCGGTTATACCGGCTATACAGATACAGATACAGATACTCACTCAATCAATCAATCAATCAATCAATCAATCACGTACTCACTCACTCACTTGATCGCTCAATCACCCATTCATTCACTCACTCAATCGATCACGTACTCACTCACCCTCTCAATCACTCACTCACTTGATCGCTCAATCACCCACTCACTCACTCACTCACTCATCCACTCGTCCACTCACTCATTCAATCACTCACTCACTCACTCACTCACTCACTCACTCACTCACTCACTCACTCACTCACTCACTCACTCACTCATTATTGCTCTGAATGTATTATATGGACTACCAAACTTTTGGAAGGTAAATCATATTTATTATTTACAAAGACCTTCGAATTCTTTCAAAAACAGATTCCACACTGTTGAACAGCGTGGAAAGACCTTTACATTTCTCCTGATACATAAATAAAGTAAACGTTGATATTGCTTGCTGTTATTACATGCATATGCTAAGAAGTTAAATTAAAACACACGTTATCATTATGTAGACACCATGAACATGATGCAGACTCATACAACTATGTAGCTTATTAGTATACAAAATCTTATAAATATAGTTTGTAACTGTGCTATATACTTATACTTGCTATCATAAGAAAGTGATAGATATCCAATTGACACAACTTGTATCTATCCGCATACCAGTGAATAAAGGAATATATTATATATCTTTCAGATTAATGGAGAAATGTTACACATTATCTTAGCCAGTTGTAGGCAGCTTGATTCAACAGTACTAGTGGAGGATAAAAGCCATGTGTTACATATAAAACCACAGATTCCTTTTTAAAATCATTTTAGTTTTTTTAACTATCTTTGACTTAAAATAAACTTACAATTTTTTTTTAAATAAACATGTACAAGCAAACAAACATAGCAGTTACGACATTGCGGGCCAAATTGCCCTCTACTGTCTACAGCTCCAAATAGTAAAGCAAAAAGCCGATACAAAATATGGCATACATGACAGGAAACACAGCCCGGGCAACGTTGTCGATCCTGTCCGTAACACGCTGGATTTTCTCCTCTTCCTTCGCGTCTTCGTCTGTGGGAGCTCGGGGCGGCTCTGGGTTCAGTTTTACATACATGTAAATTACCGGCCCTCCTGGGTAACTGTACCTACGGAGGATTTTATTAGACTTGGTTGGTTTAGGCTGACCGGCGTACAGGCCTGGAACAACGATCATTTTCAGCTCCTCTTTTGTGAAGTAGAGAGATTTCCATCCCGGATGGGTGCGGATAGGCTCCCATCCGACGTGGATTTTGTCGTCACCGGGGTAGTGCACGACTCTCCACCCTCCGTCCATCTTTCTCTCCCACGCCACGGTTGGCCTGACTCTCAGCTTAGGACGGGGGATGTTGATTGGTTGACCGATGACGGGTTCGTCAGTTGAAACCATCCTGTACTGTCCGTCTGGCCCCTCCCGCCAGCGTGCCTTGATTGACGTCATCAGCATGGCGTTTGCCAACTCGCCGCCAGGGGGCCTCGGGATGACGATCCACCGTCCGTCGGGCAGCTTGTGCCACATGATCGTCTGCGGGTTAGTCAGCGTGGCTCTTGGTATGCGGGAAGGGGTCCGTTGAAGACCCTGGTCGGTACCGGTGGGGGCACGTTCCCTGGACCGCTCAGGTTTGTCTGACGCTTCCAGATTTTTCTCTTGCTCTGCTTTCTTCTTCTGATGCTATGGGTAAACAAAAAACACAGGTCAGTGTCATATCCTGATAGCTATATCATTTTGGTTCCTCTCTGAAATTTTTACTCCATCAAACAATAAATTGTATAATAAAAAAGTTAAAGTTACAGAAATGTTTAATTTGAAGTTTAAAGATATTTTTGACAAAAATATAGTGAATATAGTGAACAATATCTCAATAATCTTTAAGAATTTACTTTTTCTTCCAGTCGACACCGGACGAAGTAGACGATGATTGTCTCCAGGAACATGAGAATGACGACGATCTGGCAGCCGCTGAACCAGATGTCAATCGCTCTTGTTTCGTTAACCTGGGAATAAGGTACATGTAGTACAGATGTTTCTTTAATAGATGTCACAAAACAACAAGCTTAATTACGACGTTAGTTGGGAAATGTCTGACAAGGCTTTTTAGTGTAGGTACATACAAAATGCCTATAAAGTCATATATAAGGAGATATTCATCCAATGTTTCTACGTACTACCGAATCTGTATAACGTATAGGCATATGATAATTCAGGCTACCATTTTATAATGTAATATTGTTAAATGAGGTTATTGATTGATGTCTTATGTGAAAAATGTACTTTTATATTGTTTATTGTATTATCATTATTATCATTAGATGGCAAATGTCATTAAGACAACGTTCTTTCAAAGTAGGGAATGCAAATAGTAGTTATAATGTGTATCTTTTGTAAGAGGACTCCAGGAAGAGTAGTGGTTGTATTGTCACTAATGGTGATTCCTTAACAAACAAACAAACAAACAAACAAACAAACAAACAAACAAACACAAGCATGAAGTCTGCATAGACCATTGTAACACCGAGTCTCCTTACCCAGGACACAGCTCCGGTGGCGCTGCCCTTCACGATGACGGTTAGGAAGCCGGTGATGCCGAGTGTGATCCTGCCGGCGATGACGGAGGTCTGCAGCGGGAGCCAGAGCTGCAGGTACGCGGCGACCACCACAGCTGCGGACGGGAGGAACAGTCTGAAGGCGTAGCTGGACAGGCGACGGGTCATACGGAGACGAACCTCCAATGTGGTGTAACCGTTTGCACCTAGAAACAAAGAAGCTACGGTCATTCTTGTATAGAAAGACCTTTACCCGGACATGGGTCTTTTTTGAGGGCGACACATTCTTGTCATAACCTGTCGTCCTTGTCTAGGATTTATTAGAGTTATATACAGTCTAACATCGAGTGGGGAGGAAGATTCCTTCTTTTATCTATAAAAACAACTGTAGTATAGATAAAATCATTATTTTTATTCGAATATAAGAAAGTATATATAGAAGTCGAGGTCACATTGGTCACAGTAGACCAAATATTCAGAGTAATCATCACAGACATATACAAGGTAATATAGAATACGTCACATAATATTGCATAATATTGTAACAGTTGTTTCTCAAGTATTTCAAAATCAGTAAAAGAGCTCGCATTGAAAATGTGAATGTTTTTGAATAGCTGGTATAGATATTTTGAGATAAGTTTCATATGCCTATTAGTACGTTGTGGTGGTCATCATGGGCTTTAGAAAATGAAAAACACGTCACGGTGCCTGCACACGAAGACCTCATGTGTCTTTCGGAACATAATCCAAATATGTCTGTTAAACCCCAAAAATGTCGGGTACACCCATCGACAAATTCATTCCGCAATACCAAAACCAACACACCTTTGTTGTTATTTCTTGCTAATGAATTATGCATGGTAGGCTTAGAAGTTAGAAACCCTTTTTCATTTCCTGTACCTATGCTGTGCATCTCAATTAAATGAGTATATTACAGATGAATAGCATACAAGAATCGAAAGATACTGAAGATGACTAAATCAAGAAACAGTGTCTAAATGTTAGTAAAATCAGTGGGGTGGTTTTGTCCTAAGGAAACGATGGCCCAAATGATGTACACATATACAATATATATCACACGCCATGTACTTACTAGCTTGGCCCTGTTGACACCTGTTCAGTTCAAATCCACACTGTCCGACCGTGCTGGTGCACTGTTGACATTCGTCACTGAGATGACAGTCCGGGAACCGGCGGAACAGACATTCGTCCAGGCTGTACTCACACCTCTGCTGGAAGAAGACGCAAGCTGAAAAGAAATTTCAAACTTTAGATTGGGGTTGGGTCGTGTGGTGTAGTGGCACGGCAAAGTGTTCGACTGGAAGCAAAGAGGTCCCGGGTTCGAGTCCTGACATGCCCCCGATCTTGTGCCCTTGGGAAAGGCACTTTACACGACTTTCCTCACTTCGCTCAGGTAAAAATGAGTATTGTACATGTATTGTCCCCTGTGTTGGTGGCGGCATTAATATAAGATGAAAAACCTTGAGTGTGCCGGCACCACGTCTTGTAACTACATGTTGGAATATTTTTAAAAAATTCAAAACCTCCAGAAGTACATAAAATTCTCCCACTAACGTCCCTGATACATGTGTAACCTCCTTGGTTAAATAAAGTAGCTACAAACGTGCGGTGAAGGTTTTGAATGAAGAAATATTTGAATAGAAATTACTGTGTGATGTTCTGAATTGCTGGCTTGATTGATCTATCATTTGTAGGTATTTAAAGGCATCCAATGCAAATTTATGGCGACAAAACAAGCAAATATTCTAAATGAGAAAATCTGCCTGATAACTGCCATCTCTTAGTACATTTACGTCATCATTTTATGCTTGAAGTGTTCGAAATATCCTCAAAACAAACTACGTGTGGGGGGTGTCCTTTTTTAGGCACCACCAATAAGTAGCTATAGAATTAGCCCACGATACAAAAATAGCAACAATTTTCCGTCAGCGACATCGCATGTTCGCCCCCACAGTATGCTATGAGATAGGATTGACTCAACTTTCTAGCACATCACAATAATGAACAGAAAATCGACTCTGAAAATCAATTTTTGCCGCCCTGAAATTGGATCGGGTGTCTTGACATTAGAAGCTTATACTATATAACATTATATCTTACATCTGCCAACAAATACAGTTTAGAAACAATGTTTATGTTTCTACTTCTACTACTACGCTAGCTATCATAGGGTTTGACTTCTCATTATCCACTGCCTTCAAAGAATAAGTCAAACCCCATAATAGCTAGCGTAGTAGTAGAAGTAGAAGTTTTCCAGACCGTAGTTGTCTCCTATTATTGTATTGTATCTTTGACTGTGAAATCAATTAGCCTTTGGGTATGATTTTGCACATAAAGACTATGTACCTGTTGAATTGAGGTGAGGGTTGAGGGATGCCTGTACGTCAGCCCCCGTCAGTTCGAACTGTGACACCACACCGGTGGCGTCTGTTTTAACGGCCGCGTATCGGACATCGTCAGACGCCATCAGATGTAACCTCAGCCCGTTATCTACAAAGATAGACACGTACAGCAATTTTTTTTTTTATTCAACATGAAGTTTAACATTTAATTCATGGCTTGGACATTCGCAACTGAATAGTGCTACTTACATAATATTATTGAATCTCCCTTTCTCTCTCTTTCTCTCTCTCTCTCTCCCTATCTCTCTCTCTCTGAATGATGATATAAAATAAATGTACTTACATGCGTGCAGTTTGATACTGCATGTCTGGTTGTCAAAAGGGTACTTCTTCAGCACTACGGGGCAGGACACATGTAACTTCCGCCTGTGGAACAGAAAAAGAAAGGAAAGAAATACCATTTTACTTGAGATATGAGTGTTTTAAGTAAAATAAATTTTCGTCCGTTTCTAAAAAGACAATATTTTGAATCTCACAATTTAAAAAGAAAGGAACTGCAAAATGAGTAAATAGATGCCGTAAATTGCAAAAAAAAATATTGGAAAATGATATTAAAATGTAGTTCAATGCCACATGCAATTTCAAAACTGCGAAGGAATGAATATCGTAAATATCGTGTGTTCAGTCATTTCTTCAACCTTCAGATTTCATAATCAAGGCAACCTTATTTTTGACAAACGGTTTTGAGGTTCCCAGAGGATGTTACCTATGCAACACGGTCTAAGTTGAAATTAAATACTAACGTTATCTTGCAGACGGTGAGTCCGTCGTAGTTGACCCAGGCCGGTGTGTCGTCGTGAACGGGCGCGGCGCGGCGGACGGACGTCCCGAACATCAGCGGCGGCAGCCAGATCATGGACCGCGGCACGGGCACCCAGGTGGTGGCGATCCCCTGCAGCCTCGGGTCGTACCAGGACAGCGTGTACTCCACCGTCACGGACATGTTCTACAGGAGGGGGAGGTAAACAACAACATGAAAGGGGTGCTAGGGTAACGGAAATGAAAAGAAACCTACAGCGGGGGTCACTGGAAGACAGACGAAGAATGTCCAGACTGTGTATGATGTACAAAATGACTAATAAACTGGTGGACGTCCCAACCACTAATTAAAATAAGTATCTGATATCAGCCCAGAAAAGAACAAGAAACAGCAACTATAAGAGTTATCAACCAAGAATTGAGGTGTTCAAAAACTCGTATTTCCCAAGAACTGTGTGCAAAGATTGAGTGTAACAGGTCGTTCGGTGTGATATAGCTAGCTGCCGCCTCGCCGAGTGCCTGCGAAGCTAGTGTGCTGTGCCGAATGGCGGTTATACCGGCTATACTGATACAGATATATACAGAAGTAAACAACAACATCTCGTCAGATACTGGCTAGAATGTGACATAATTGGTACATGGTAAAATTGATATCAATCTTGATTTAATCTATACACCTGGCATGATATTACCTAAACGTAAACCTTCTTTTATTTTCACTTATGAAGATCACTGGATAGCGACCAAAAGAACCCGACCAAAACTTCTGACAGACCTTGTATCATTCAGTATCATGTAATGATTTAGAATTATTATATCCTGAATGGTCAGTCTTCAGAAACGTTACAGGAAAATGGTTTCTCGGAAACATTGCATGTGGTTGATAGGAGATGTTTCAAAATGGACGAACGATTGTTTGCCCTGAATGCCTGCTAGACTATCGAGAAGAACAAGGGTAAGACATACACATAGCTTGTATTAAAACTAACATGGTCTCAGTAATACTGATCAAAACGTCTTGTATAGATAAATCTAAGTATAAACGTACCGCGTGTTCCTCGTTCAAACGGCCGACCTGCCGAATGTACACAGATGTCACGATATGTAGAGTTTCCTCTGAAACCAAAGGCAGAAGAGAAGCGTTACTTATCCAAAGCCTTCAGTTGCAAAGAGATGAGGACATTGTCGATATGGCATACTTTCATGGGACTTCATATACAACAGAATTGTGCATTTAAAAACAAACTCCAACATTTATTAAGTAGGAAAACATGGCCACATACATGGTGGGGTCTACAAAAACGTGAAGAATGGATGGATGGATGGATGGATAGAGGGATGGATGGATGGATGGGGGGATGGATGGATGGATGGATGGATGGATGGATAGAGGGATGGATGGATGGATGGATGGATGGATGGAGGGAGGGAGGGATGGATGGATGGAAAGATGGATGGAGGGATGGAGGGATGGAGGGATGGAGGGATGGAGGGATGGAGGGATGGAGGGATGGTTGGGTGGATGGATGGATGGATGGATGGATAGAGGGATGGATGGATGGATAGATGGATGGATGGATGGATGGATGGATGGAGGGATGGATGGATGGATGGATGGATGGAGGGATGGATGGAAGGATGGAGGGATGGACGGATGGAGGGATGGATGGATGGATGGATGGAGGGATGGAGGGATGGATGGAAGGATGGAGGGATGGATGGATGGATGGATGGATGGATGGATGGATGGATGGATGGAAAGTACCGAACAAAGAGGTGCTGACAAAGTGACACACTTACCCTCCTGAATCGGCCTGGTGGATGTGTCGTAGCCTGGCACCACAGACTCTCCTGACTTCAGACTCTCGGACTCTGCCCACGCGATGGTGTGTATTGTTAGATTGTCACTTTCTTCACTTTCTCCTGGGCCCAGAAACCCCTACAGTTTACATGCAACAAAAGGAGAAGAAAAACAAACAAACAAATGTGGACAATAGATAGCTTTAAACAATGTCTAGAGCTAGAAGTTCAAGGGTTAGGTGTAACAAGTCGATCGGTGTAATATAGCCAGCTGCCGCCGCGCCGCGTGCCTGCGAAGCTGGTGTGTTACGCCGAAAGGCGGTTATACCGGCTATACAGATACAGATACAGATACAGATACAGAATATGATACAGGGAAAGTACTTTACGTTGGTTGGAGCCATTGATTCAATAAAGGAGACTAGAGTATAATTAGATACATGACTTCTATGACAATTGTTAATGCCATAACAAAGTTCCATTTTTTTAAAAATCCTGCATTATTTTTCATTTTACCTACAGTTACCATGTATGAGAATCTTGGTTAGGTAAAACAAGGATTGAGATCTTACATCAAAGATCGCTTCATGTTTAGGACCTGCAAGAGAATAATATATGATAGTGAGAATGTACAAGACCGTTCTTACACATATCCACTCTATTCAGTGATTACTTGTCAGTCAACTAGCTTGGTCTATCGTGGTTGGGGCGGGTTCTCTTCGGGGCTGCAGGAGCACTTCGCCGCCCGACTCAGCTAGGTTCCCCGGTAGGGCTCGGCGAGGGGAAACTATCAGCGCCCCTAAGAGAATCCGCCTCGACCACGATCGATAGACTGGACACCAGGCTATCAATTGGCGGGCATGAGAGAAATTAGCCATGTCACCTGAATCTACCTTGCCAATGCGAATCTAGAGAAATCAAAAGAGTAGACGTTAGAACAGTGAGGACAGAGTTTCTACCTGTACAGCCGGAATCTTCGTAGCACCACTTTGACCGGGTGCCGCGCTGCCCGCAGCCCCTGCCGCCGTACTGCGGGGCCGGGTTGGTGCAGCTCCGCCGGCCCGTCCGACGGCCTATGCCGCAGTCTGCGCTACAGCCGGACCACGGGCTCCACTCGGACCAATTTCCGTGTACTGAAACGGTAAAATAAATGTTACTAGACAGGTACCACGTGCAAAGCAAATGCATACTGTTTACCCTCACCTGGACAAGCTAAACAAACTACTCCACTGATTATACTCACTGTTAAGTCAAATACATTCATATTTTTGGTGAGCAGGGTGTTGCTTCAGCACTAGTAACCATGGTGACAGACGTCTGGTCCAGGCCATTTGATGTGTTTGGGACAGAAAAAGAAGAAGAAACGGAGCAAAAACAATATGTTTAACTTCTGTGAAGGTATTGCATAATATGGTGCAGTTGACATTAGAACTGTAGTCAGTCTGGACACATCGCATTTATTTTTCCTTTCGTTTGTTAATATGTTACATTCCATATTTTTACTACTTGTACATCAAATTAATGTCATAAACCAATATGCATTTTAAGATGATCATCAGACGAAACAAAATTGTTACAAGCTTATTGAGTTCATTTAAAGGACCAGTTCTCAACAGCCATATTTTGAATAATGAAATAAAATAA